CTCATTTGCAGTACATTGTGAGTTAAGTTGCCCGCGTGCCATGCATATACCATTAATATACAATGCTTTAGGTGCCATAGCATTACATGGCCGACGACAGCATAATGATTGGGAAAATCCACCATCTAAATCCACAATAAGTCATTTTATTCTAAAGTTTTTAAATTTTAGGATAAAACTAATGGATAAATTATACTTTGTTTTTTTTATCATTTTGTGAAATTATTTCTTCATTAATTGAAGACATTATATATATATAAAGATAACATTAAGATTAGTTATTAAGGATAATCTAAAAAGATTTTCAAATATTCAATAAAAGTAAGTTAGATATTTGATGTAGTATAATAAGATAACATAAAATGTAACATGAAATAAAACAAAAATACCTGAAATACGATGGCAAAAATGTGTATCAGATGGACAACGAATATTTGAAGTAGGATCACAAGAATAATTATATTCTGGTAATGTTCCAAGTGGACATACTTTTGGACAACAATGTCCCATTGGTGATTCACCAATAGTTATACATATCTAAAAATGTTTCTATCAAATAATTACATCCTATTATTATCATTTTTTCTTTTTTTTTTTTTTTTTTTTGTCCATTTGATAATAATTTATACTGGGAGTAATTTTATCCAATAATCATACTTTTAAGTTAATATAAAGAATTGAAAATTAAATCATAAAAAAGAAAAATAAAATAGCCATATAAAAGTGAAATTTATTTACCTGTCCAGGTGGACAATCATCAGCCCCATCGACAAAATTTTCTACCATATGTTGATTTGCTTTACGAATGCATGCATTACCAGGAATACCTGCAATTTTGCATGTTATAAAAATATTTCATAAAATATTAGTAATTAATTATAAAATAAAAGAAAATTACCTCCAAGTGGACAAGCTGATTTTGCTATACATTGTGAGCCTTGCTGTATGGTACCACTAATGCATACACATTGCGAATTCAAGCATGCCGAAAAAGGTGCGGAACAGTCGTAATGTCGCGTGCAACGATCACCCACTCGGCTCACTTAACCATAGATTCATTATAAGTATGATAATTATAATTGTAATAATCAATAATCAATTAATTAGAATAATAAATTAAAATTATAGTTAGAATAATAATTAATTAGAATGATAAGATAGCATACAGAAATTAATTTCACTCTTAAAAATTATATTACAAAGATGAAATTGTTTGAAATGATTTAAATGATAATATAATAAAAATTTTTTTTAAAAAAAATTTTAAAATACTTGCATATAAATTATCATATATAATTTGTATTCAACTAATTCATTCACTTCATTTTTTATCGAAAGAAAAAAAGAAAAAAGGAGAATATATGTTTGGAATATTGAAATATATTGAAATAATTGTATGTAATGTAAAAATTATTTAAAATTATTGTTTTAAATTATTAAAAATTATTATTTATATAAAAAAAAAAATTATTTATGAAATATTGCTTATCATTTATAGCATGTATATTTATATTAAAAAATATATAAGTATATACTATATGCATTTTGCAAGTGATTATCATATCAAATTAATGTGTGCAAACTAGTTAATTAATTAATTAACTAGTTAAACCAAAACTGATGACATTACTAAATAATAACTTATAGCAATCTATTGATAAGTAATTTAAACGTATGAATACAGTAAATTTCACGTAACGTATAGACATACTCGATATGCATTGACCATTAACTAATGTTGTTCAGTAAATTTCACGTAAATCAATACAGTAAATTTCACGTAACGTATAGACACACTCGATATGCATTGACCATTAACTAATGTTGTTCAGTAAATTTCACGTAACGTATAGACATACTCGATATGCATTGACCATTAATTAATGTTGTTGTACCACGTTGAACACATTGACATTGTCCACTACGGCAAAATAATGGCTCACGACATTTAGTGGTACACATTTGGCCAACTTTTGCTGGTACTAAAATTATTTACTTTACTTTTTTTTTTTTTTTTTTAATTTCAAAATTTAAAATAAAAATATAAAATATATATATATAAAATAAAAATAAAATTTAAAATAAAAATAATGTTACATTTGAATACATATATCTATTATTATTGTTTATATATTTGGATTAAACCTTTAATAAATATTAGCATGAAATAGAATTTAACTAACTATAACTAAATTAAAATATAGCAAAAAAAAAAAAAAAAGATAGAGAAGAGAAACTTACATCGTTTACAATATGGATTACCACCTCTTTTGTCATCTACAATTTCAGTATAATGTGGATGACATCTACAACGTCCTCGTAAACATATTGATCCTTTATTCTCACAATCAATATTCCAATCACATGTGCCACCAAGTGGTGATTTTCCTTTAAAAAAAAAAAAAAAATTATTTATTTTTTAATATTTTCATCATAACATATATTATCATACTTTTCAAATATATCATATAAAATCATTTTTATCAAAATACTATCATTCATTTCAAATGAATAAATGTAATAAATGTAAAATGATAATGCATATGATAAAAATGATAAATAAAATTTGAACTAAAATTTGTTATAAATCAAATTAAACATACCATTACATGGAGTAAAGTTAGAATAAACTTGTTTAATGAATAGAAATAACCATAAGTGTCGTATCATTTCGTTCTGATACATTACAATCAATCAGTCATAGCGTTATTCTCGATGAAATTTCATTTCATTTACATCTCATCACATTTCTTCATGTTTGTAAATCCGGTTTTTCGAACAAGATCGAAAATTTTCACACCATTTTAATCTTTTCTATCTCTTCAATTCTATTTTTCTATCCTATCTATCGATCTATCGATTAAATCAATTTATCATGAAATGAACTAATGATTATTATCTTCTCATTTCTCATTTATAACATCAAAATTCTAAAAAAAAAAAAAAAAATTCACCCAATTATATTTATTCTGTTTTTCCTTTTCATTTAACATTTCTTTTGGATAAATTTGTTAAATTATCATTGAATAGTTTTGTTTTTTTCTTTTTATGGACAAAGAGAGAGAAATGATTTATCATATTGTTATCATCATATTATCTTCTAGCAATATTAGTATAGTGATAATTTTAAGAAAATTTTTGATACACATTTTTTCTTAATATATAGCAAATTTTCAAATATAAAGTAACAAAAAAAAAAATTTTTTTTTAATTTTTTAAATATTAAATATAAAAATAAATATATAAAAAACATTATTAATACATTCAAAAACTCTTCTATATAATATATAAAAAAAACCTTTGAAAAGTAAAAATATTAAATAATAGCTGCAACAAGATAATTAATACTATAAAAGTTATAACTATGTATACTCGTATTTCTATAATTGGAATTGATCAATTTACTCAATTATACATTTAATTGAATTGATTCATCCCATCTATGATTTCATTCTTTTTCTTGAAATTAAGATAAGTTTAACTAAGTGTTTTTTCTCATTCTTCCTTTCAATTTTTATATAAGTTATCATTTTTAATTTAATTCTTAATTTATTTCATTTCATACATAAATGGATGAATATTTTACAGAAATAAGTTTAGCTGTTAGGTAATGATGGTGTATGGTTTGATTGCTTTTGAACACTTCTATATTTGGTATTTTATTAATAAGTTTTTAACTTATTCCTTCTTCCATTATCCCTTTACTATTGTTAATGTTGTAATAAGAATTAATAGTTATTTTAAATGAAAAAAATTATTAGGAAATCACATCACTACCAGATTTTAACATCATTGGTATTTTAAGATAATCATAAAATAATTCAAGCAATTTGTAAACTTCATTCCCATCATATCTTTCTTTCCAAATAATCTTTCCTAATTAAAAATATTGCTTTTGTCGAAATAACGAAATTTCATTCATCCACTTATCAAATCAAATAAAAAAAAAGAACTTCCTCCACTCTACCACAATTTAACTAGCGATTGACAGCCTAACTTTATCCTCGAAATGTTTTATTTCATTAGTGATATCGAACATTCTAAAAGATTTAACTAAAAAAATTTTTACTTAGCTAAAAATTCTATACTAATCTTTTCAATGCCTTAACTACTAATTGTTAACAAATTACTCTAACTATCAGATAAATACATAAAAAGTTATGAATTACACCACTTTGTCTGCTATGAATAGTAAGATAAATGATAAGTAGAATTACTCTAAAGTAGTAAACTATGTATAATTCTAGTATACATACTATTCGCGAAACATCTTAGCACCTTCGTCTAACTTTCGACTTGATATAAATGCAAAACACAAAAGTTTAAAAGAAATTTGTACTTTAAATGGATTTTGACAAAAAAAAACGATTAAGTATAACACAAATATAACTCTGGGCAGCTTTGTACTTACTTATACTGCTTACATTCATTTCATCAAAAAAACAGAAAATGATATTGGGATGATTTGAATAAATTTAGGTATATCCTGTAGATTCGAAGAGGGAGAGAGGATGGGAGGAGAAAAGAAAAGAGAAAACAGATGGAATGCAGTGAATACTTGGCAAAGGCAAACCCAGAGTTTTCAAAATTTGAGAATCCTTAACATTAAGTCTTAAATTCTATAAAAAAGAAAACAAAACCATTTCAAAAAATTACAGGTAGAATTAACATTATAAGATGAATAAATTGGAGAAAAAAAAAAAAAAAAAAAAACAACATAACTCTTCCTTCTCACCGGTATAAAATTCGCTCAAATTTATTCACGAATCAAAAAGATATTTCTATAAATGGTATTACAAGTACAAATTCCACTTAATTTAAATGCTGAATTTTTCACAAAATTTGCACAAATTCTAACATCAAACAACTAAAATCAATTTTCCCAATAATTGAGCTGAAATTAATGATTCAATGCGCAGAATTAGAAACCAATAGAAAAAATTTTTAATAAATCTGGCAGCGGTAATTAATGACAGAGTTGCATGAATTTCCCATTCAATTTAATATTCCGGTTCAACCTGATTATTATATATATCACTGCCACTCTCATTGTATTCATCATCATCCTCAATGGTAGCATCCTGGTATTGCTGATATTCCGACACGAGATCATTCAAATTGCTTTCTGCCTCAGTAAATTCCATCTCATCCATCCCTTCGCCAGTGTACCAATGAAGAAAAGCCTTACGACGGAACATTGCTATAAATTATATTTCATTTAGTGCATTTAATATGTTCAGATAATGTAATGTGATAGTAGTTTAAAAACAATACCAGTAAACTGTTCCGAGACACGTTTAAAAAGCTCCATGATAGCTGTCGAATTACCAATAAAAGTTGCACTCATTTTTAAGCCGCGTGGTGGAATATCACAAACAGCTGTTTTAACATTGTTTGGAATCCACTCCACGAAATACGATGAATTCTTATCCTGTACATTGAACATCTGACTGTCCACTTCCTAAAATTCATGTTGTATCCAAAGAATCCATGGAATTTTAAACGAAGAAAACGTTATCAAACAAAATGAAAAAAAAAAAAAAACATCATCAAATGAACAGTGCTGAACTTAGAAACGCAGAATTATCTATAAAAACACATACGCTCATCGACATCGAGCCACGGAACATAACCGCTACCGTAAGATAACGGCCATGTCGTGGATCGCATGCTGCCATCATGTTCTTTGCATCGAAAACCTAAAATGTATTAATCATAACTATGAACAAAAAAGAGAGAAGAACCAGTGAATAAACTTGAACGAAACCTAAAAATGTGTTCATATATATATATATATATATTTTTTGTGGAAATATGCAGAAGAAAAAATTACATCATTTAAGAAACAGAACGCAATAAATGAAGACATCAAAAAAAAAAAATCTTTTCATAATTAAGCAATAGCAATACATAAAATAAACAGTAGCATTAATTTATTTTCTTTAAATCATTTTCAATCGGTGCTTCCTTAATGAATGGTATTAATTCCTTGTAGGGATGTGGCATATATATATATATATATATATATGATATAATCAAATTGAAAACCAACCTGCTGTGTGAGTTCAGCAACGGTCAGAGCGCGATAGGCAGCTGAATTGAGTGCAAAAAGTGGTGCAAATCCCGGTATGAAGAAATGGAGACGTGGAAACGGAATCATATTTACCGCCAATTTACGGAGGTCAGCATTAAGTTGGCCAGGAAAACGAAGACAAGTTGTTACTCCAGACATTGTCATTGAGACTAAATGATAACAAATTATATCATAAAAGCCATGAAATCCTTATTATGAAACAAATTTAACTGTACAGTGTACGAATAAAAACTCAGATCTAAATGTTCATATAACATACCCAAATGATTGAGATTGTTATAGTTGGGATCTGATAACTTCAAAGTTCGGAAGCAAATATCATACAATGCCTCATTGTCGATACAGAATGTCTCATCTGTATTTTCAACTAATTGATGAACTGATAGAGTAGCATTGTATGGTTCCAGTACGACATCCGAAACCTGAAGATCTCATGCATTTTTTTAAAAGAACCTTTTGAAACAAAATTACATAAAGTCATTCGATCCACCCAATCCCAAATTGTTCAATATTTCTTTTCAGAACATATTAATTTTCAATTAATTAAAGGCTGAACTAGAGGTAGCATAATTATTCATCAAATATTCCATTTTTCATGAAACAGCCACATATTAAAAAAATTGTTAAGAAAACCTTTGGTGATGGAACGACTGAAAATGTACTCATGATACGGTCCGGATACTCTTCACGAATTTTTGAAATCATTAGCGTACCCATGCCTGAGCCTGTACCGCCTCCCAACGAATGAGTGAGTTGAAAACCCTGAAAACATAGTATTTTCTTTGTTTAATTAACAGCAAAATGGAAAAAAAAAAAAAACAAACAAAGTTTGAGAGTGAAAGTATGTCTAACCTGCAAGCAGTCGCATCCTTCAACTTCTTTTCTGACGACATCCAGAACGCTGTCAACTAGTTCTGCTCCTTCTGTATAATGTCCTTTGGCCCAGTTGTTACCAGCACCACTTTGACCAAAAACAAAATTATCGGGACGAAAGAGCTTCCCGTATGGACTGTTGCGAACTGAATCCATTGTACCGGGTTCTAGATCAACCAGAACAGTGCGAGGGACGTAACGACCATCTGATGAAAAATAAACGAAATAACTAGACTAGTTTTGCTAAACATGAAACTTCCAAAAAATTGAAAAAGTTATCCACTACCTCGATTTTTGACCTCGCTGGAACACTATCACAATTATTCAAACTGAAAAATGTAAAACTAACTGCTTGCTTCATTGTAGTAAACATTAATACGCTCGCGTTGCAAATCCGATTCACCATGATATGTGCCATCTGGTTTTATACCATGTTCATCCGAAATCACCTCCCAAAACTATAAACTACCACGTAAATTGTGTTGTAAATAAGGCTTCTTAAGTAATTAATATTATGCAAAAATATTTATGTATACGACCAATTAAGTCTGCCATTTATGCTAATATAATCTGTTCTTGTCCAGTTTGATCATATAAGCTTTATGTTTGTTCTCTAATAATGTGTAATATTTGCTCATCGTTTTATATAAAAATACAAATAGATATAAAAGTGTATGAGAAATCCTGGAAACCTTTGTGCCAATTTGATTACCACATTGGCCAGCCTGAATTTGAAGAATTTCTCGCATTGTTGTCAGCTAATTTCTACCACTTTTGATCGCTCACCAAAATACTCTGTCAACCCTCCTTTTTATCACGAAAATTAATCCGCTAGCTAACAGTGATAACCAGACGATAACTTCTGGAAAGAACGAACTATGCTGTAAGGAGAGCATTCGCAAATTGTTATATGATAAAATGTAAAGTAATGTTCATTCATTTTCATTGCTATCACAAAAAATAATTATTCCTTGCACCAATATTTTATTCATAAATGACAAAAAATCCCTTCATTTCATAATTATCAATTACTCAAATTATATAAACTGTCAATAGCAATATAAGGACAAAAATAATAACATAAATAAAAATAGATCTCTGTTTTTTAAAAAAGAAAAAAGAAAAAAAATACGCCGATAACAACCAACTGACAGTAAGTTGAAAGCAAAAGAATAAAGCAACCGCACAGATATCAAATAGTCACAAACTAACTGACTGCCAGTTTAATTTCTCTCTTAAATACTATTCATTCCTTCATTTATGCAAATTTTTTCAAGATAAATCAACGAAAGAGAATAATGCAAACACATTCTAATTGTAACACTCAGAATTCATATCAAGAACCACACTCTCTGGATCACTTTGAAAACTATCCCACTAATTTTCAAGACTTTATCTTAGTATTTAATTAACATATCGCAATTGGAAGACTGGATAATTGATTAAATGAATTATTCGCTCAATGAACTCAATGACTAATTCACAAATTAATTGACTGGATGACTCATATGACAAGTTACTTCGAAAAACTACTAAATTAAGAATTGATTCATGGAATGAATAAATGAGTGACCAATAGAGTAACTTATGAAAGCTATTTTGATTATGATAATCATTTAGAAATTGTTCCATTGTAAAAAGCCCAAATGTAAAATGTAAATTATCTAAGAACTAAATTTCTTTTGCTTTCTTATAATCTCAAATTCTAACTTCTCCATTAAAGCAATAATGAAAAATCAGCTCAATTATTGAAATCTAACTCGAATCGTGAAAAAAAAAACACTCACTCATCGGAATCAATCAATAATTCATTATATTAAGCTATGTCGATGTAAATAAAACCAATATAATAACAATCCTATGGTAAGAAAAAGAGAAAAAAAGCGAGAAGTTCATCGTAGGATATTGTCAATTAGGATAATAACAGATTATTATTGATAATATTAGAAATGTTAAGAATATTTTAATTAAAAAAATCAAAAAAGTTTCATTTGTAAACATTTCTAAAAATATGACATTGATAGATGAAATTATACTTTGTTTGCATTCAAATAATTAAATAAATTTAAGTAATAATTTGTTGCAGTCAATTAATAATAAATTGCTCAATTAATTGATAAAAATTATAAAAAATAAATTGAGAAAGAGAGAAAAACAATAAAATATGAAAATGTTACAAAAAAATTACTTTTTAAACATTAACAATAAGGCTAATGTCTTCAGACCCCAATAATTACACTAAACACATTTTCCCACACTCAGAGGCACTCATTTATGAAATTCAAATTTATTACATTATATAGGCCTGTGGGTATTTGATGGTTCGGGCCCGATAAATAAATTATATTAAAGTGTGAAATATGGTTTAACGAATTGGAAATGCGGGGGGTTGTCTTATTATTCTTTTTTTTTTTTTTTTTTTTTTTTAACGGTTGTAAGGGGTTTTTTCTTTTTTTTTTTAAATTATTTTTTACTTGTGAAATTATTACTGATATCATTTTATGCTAATAAGTACATTATATAGGCTGTGGCTAATTTAGTTTTATATATTTTGCTAACAGTTTAATAATTATTAGTGATTAAGAAATAGAAAATTTTTGGTTATTTTATTCATAACATTAGATTTAAAGCATTGTTTATTGCTTTACATCAATGCTTTACAAGCAATTTTGTTGAATAATTTAAACAATTTTTTCCGTTTTTGTTTGCTTAACTGTACTAATTTTCGCCAATTTAGGAATCGACCAAATTTTTGCTGTCTTAGGAATCGGCCAATATGGGTGGTCGGCAGTCATCACAGGTGTCACATGAAGTTGCTCAATCAGAAGTAATATTTTTCGTTTTCTTGCATGTCTAACTATGTCTCAAAATTTTCGCAAATTTCAGGTTTCCAAATTCAGTTGTCCATACCAATCGGCTAAGGATCAATCTGCTGACTCAAAAGAAAAAAATATGATTAAATCAATGGCTTCCGAATGTCCAAAGTATCAAGATAGGGAAAAGACTGATGGACAAGGTGGATGTACTTCAGGATCTGAATTTAATGAGTTAAATGCTGTAAGTTGTCAATGAAACAATTCGTGCATTTATATTCACTTGCTTTAAAAAAAATGAATGTACTTAATATTTGCAATTTTTTTTTTTTTTTTTTTTGTTGCAGATGCCTCCACCTAATCAAAAACCTGCTCCTGGCCAACCGTTTCCATTAAGTACCGAACGACAACGATCTACGATTCCGAAGGCTACAGAGGATGGTTATTGGGAATATCCGTCAGAACAAATGTTTTGGAATGCTATGCTAAGAAAAGGTATTGTTAGTTTATGAATTCATTAATGAATTACCTATTAGAATATCTTTCATTGATGATTATAGGATGGCAATGGCGAGATGACCAGATTAGTGCAAAAGATATGAACAAAATTATCAAAATCCACAACGCAAATAATGAGGAAGTATGGCGTGAAATTTTGAAGTGGGAAATGCTTCTACATCCGTAAGTTTTATGAAAAAGATAACTCCTGATAATATTTTATCACCTTCATTTTCGTAAAATTTTTTTTAGTTTTTTTTTTTTTTTTTTTTTTTTTTTTTTTTTTTTTTTGCTACTGCAAAAGGATTTGCTGTGTCTCAATTCTACTTCCAAAGCTGAAGCAGTAAACCGCAAAAAAAAAAAGTTACAGTGAATGCAATTGTCCAAAGTTGAAAAATTTCCATGGCAATGCGCAAAAGATTTCTCCACGAGCTCGAGTGAGACAGTTGTTGGGGTTTGTTCTGTTTTTAATGTTTTTGAGAGCTTTTCGTTTGCCATTGACATGTGCTATTCACGAATAATTTTTTCCACCAATTTATAATTTCCGTGAAAGCAAACTCATCTGTAAGGATCTTTTTCAGGTACGGTTTACCTTTTGATCGGCACGACTGGACAGTAGATCGGTGTGGGCGAAAAGATGTTTGTTTTTCTCTTTTTTTTTTTGGTTTTATAAGAAAGGAAAATTGAAATTATCCGTATCCGTGTATAGTGAGTTAATAGCGTTTAAGGAATAATTTTCGAACGGAATGGCAAAAGAAAGAGAATGATGGCTATTCCATTTTTACTGTGATGCAGAAGAATAATTTCTCTAAGCACCATTTTAGTTGAGCTACTGAAAATAGCATTTTTTAATTTTTTAAAAACGTATCTTTTCAACTCATAAGATTCTTTAATTAGGTTATTCAGTAAGAAGGAAATTCATTTTAGGTTCATTATATAATCGATTTTTATGATGGTGGTGCAGTTGATCCAAAATCGAAATTATTCACTATATTAGATGTTCGTCCAGCACTCACGGATGTCGGAAATGTGTGGGATCGGATGGTTGTTGCTTATTGGCGTTTCAAATTTGAAACACTGGGCCTTACTCCAAAATTGCCTTTGTACGAGAAAAAGCAGAACCCATAATACTTCCACCTTCCACATGGCTTTTCTAAACAATGTTAAGGTTTTAGAGTCCTAAAATTGTGACGCACTCATTCAAAAAAAAGTTTTATTTCATTCAAGAGGTTTTATTCATTTTTAAGCTTTAAGGCATTGCGAGGGTTTATTATTCAAAGTAAGAAAAGTTTCTCCTTACACGTGATAATAGTTAGGTCTTTATGCGAATTCTTTCTATTAAGTGGATTGATATAATTTATATTAGGGATGTCTTTATATGTATTGAACAGTAAATTAAGTAGTATGAAAAAAAATTGTCGCAAAGATTAGGAAGGTATTAGTTGTGCAGGTACATCTTATTTAATGAAAGCATTTTTTGATTATTTGATGTGCTGTTATAGGTTAGTTGACTATGTGTTAATTTTATTTTAGTCTTTTCTCTGTATCCCAATTTATTTTCCACGCTTACTATTTTTCAGGCGCAATATTTAATATTAACATACCTCGTTGTTGATTTGGAATATTTCAAATGTGCTTCTTCTTTAAACTTGATTTGATGTGAATGTAGCCGTCCTAGTCCAATCATGTTGCTTCGCATTGTTGCATATTTAAATTAGTTGCTTAAATGGAATTGGTTCATAATATTCAATCTTTCATTTTAATACCTTCTTTCGTTTATTATGGTTTTACCAAATGGAACAATTTTTCAAAACTTATTGCTTAACAACCTGTTGTGTTATTAATGGTGTTAATCATTAATTTATAGTCACCGACAGATTAGACAAAAGCTTTAACAGTTATTGTTGTCTTGATAGTTCTTTAGGTAGCTCAGAAGAAATAAATTATACCATAATTAATATTTGGAATATATAGCTTATTATATATGTCAACTGTGTCGTTATGACATAACAAAATAATACGATGTTTTCATTGCAGTGAATTTTGGTATTATCGTGCGTTATCTCTCTCAAGTTCATGAAATAGATTTTGTTCATGAATCAGTTCTTTTTTGGCAAATATTGAGCAGTTAAAATAACCGTGTATACGGTTCTCTGCTATTTTGCATACGTAAGAAATATATTTTCTTTGTGCATTTTATCAAATTAAAATTTTATTTCATATGAGGTAAGAATGATTTATTACTACTAGTAAATACAACAATTTTGTTGCATTATTAAAACGTATATATTTCAGCAATGTCGCTATTGACTCACCTTTTGGCAAGTCGTCGAGCATGCGGCAACATTACAAAGAAGTCATCATTTTTTACTGGTTCGGCATTCAATAATAATATAAAGGAATCATTTGCCTTCTTCAAAATTCCACGGATGTTAGTTATTTTTGATTAACTTACTTTGCGATAATCAGATGATATTTCGAGATTATGCTTTATTGTGTTGTTTCAGAACGAATGCTATAAAAAGGCGTATGGTACTTGGAGTATCGCTATCACATCAATTAGCACCAGCACAGCGCCGAACAATCGGAGTGTGGTTATTAGGATGTGCCGGAATGGTTTACGGGGCAGTTGCTTTGGGAGGTGTCACAAGGCATGATTTAAATTTTTAATCCAGTCTCTTTATCTATTTGATTAATGCAAAATTTTAGTTAGCTGGTAGATCATTTAATAATTTTCTTCCTAAATGATCAAATTTCTGTTTTTAGATTGACAGAATCGGGTTTAAGTATGGTCAATTGGGATTTGTTTCGTACGATGAAGCCACCATGGAGTAAGGATGAATGGGAAACCGAATTTGAACGTTACAAGCAATTTCCAGAATATAAATTGTATGTTCCATATTATTCATAAGCAACGTCTATTACATTTTAATAAGAAGTGATTGGTTTTCATGATGAATTTTTCAGTAATTTTTTGTAAAATGAAATTTCTGCAATCCTTTTTTGATGGATAGTAGTTTGTTCATAGAAAAATTAATGACTGTACAATTTCTGTAGCAAAAGTGGTAATGAAGAGATGACATTGGCAGAATTCAAATTTATTTGGATGATGGAATACATTCATCGAATGTGGGGACGGACATTGGGTATCTTTTTTCTAGTTCCTTGTGCATTTTTCTGGGCAAAAGGTCATTTCTCTTCTGCAATGAAAAAAAGAATGTTCATTGCTGGTACTCTGATTTGCATGCAGGCAAGTTATTTTATTCATACTGAGATAATTTATTTAGTCTTAGCAATTGGAATTTCTCCTTTAGAAAACTTATGATAGTGCCTTCAACTAAAATTAATTTTACACCGTCTCATTGTCTGTGCTTTTTTCAGGGACTTATTGGTTGGTGGATGGTGAAGTCAGGATTGGATCCGAAGAACAATTCTAACAAAGAAATACCTCGTGTTTCGGAATATCGTTTAGCCACTCATCTGACAATGGCTTTTGTTTTATACACTGTGTTTTTGTGGACCGGTCTTTCACATATTTTTACAGCTCATGACGTACGTTTTTTTTTTTCTTCTCTTTTTCTGAAATTTATTTCAAATGTTTATGCGATTAAAGCTTTTGGTTGATTTGGATTTGATTTTATGAGTTACCTCACGACATGTATGATTTAAGCAGGCAGATAGCTTTTTTTCTTTTTTTGGCTATTCAGTCTTATGTATGGCGAAAATTTTTTGAATGCTTTGTTAAAAGGAAAGTTAGGGAAAAGACTTTGTGACTAATTGTTTAATTTTGCCCTATCTCTCTTTTCCAAAAAAAAAGTTGTGAAATTTTTTAAAGTCTATTAACGTGAGCTAAGAGGTAAGTTAACCTAATCTACTACTACATCCTTAGTACCAAATATCTCAGGGAGCTTATTTTTTTTAAAAAATTAACTGACTAAGACACCTGCCTAAAATTGAAATATTTTTTGAGGGACGAATCTTAAGCTTTATTGATGGAAAGCCGACGCCTTCTTTCTTGATGAATTTTGTAAGTAAATTTTGTGGCATATATAATTAATGAAGACTTTTCAGCACACAAATGTTAACAAAATTGGACGATTACGTGGTATGACACATCTTTCGAAAACGATGATAGTTTTGACTGCAGTGATGGGTTAATTTTGTTTATTCTTAAACATGCAAGAAAAATATTATGAGAGTTTTTTGTTATACTGTTCACCATTATACTGTTTCATTACATTTAGTACCCACTGTTTCGAATTCGCTGAATTACTTATTTTTATATTACATCTTAATTATAGGCGCTTTTGTTGCTGGCTTGGATGCTGGATTAGTTTACAATTCATGGCCGAAATATGCCGGACGTTGGCTTCCAGAAGATTTATGGCTTAAAAATCCAAAATGGTCTAACATTTTTGAAAATCCGGCAACTGCCCAGTTCATGCATCGAAATATGGTTAATTTTTTACATTTCTTGTGATTTCAATTCGAGGTGTTTTTCCTATTCTCAAAAAATATTCATTAAGAAGATTTAATACGTTTTTTATGGGAGCAAACTTTTTATACTTTTAAAACGAATTTGTTATTTTATTATTTACTGGAAATCGCTTTTTGGTAGTAGCTTTTTATTTACAGGCTTACTTGACACTACTTTCGGTATCACTCACATGGATTTTTGGACGTCGTATGCTTCTTGGTCGACGTGCCAAAATTGCATTGCATTCATTGATGGGTGCGGTATACTTGCAGGCTCTTCTAGGAATAGCTACTTTGGTATAATACATTAAATTATTCAAATTTTTTATTTGGTCTTATTTGCTTTCCGAAAAATTCCCTCTTTTACATTTTTAAATATTTTGATGCAAATAGTACAGATGTTAAGTATATTTTACTCTCCAAAAAATCTGAAAAAAGTTTCACGTTGTTTTAAAACGTGTATCAGTTTTTATGATTCGCTGGATGGTTTCTGAAAATATGACCAGCTATGGAAATAGTACTTATTGTTATTCCAATTTTATATTAGTGTGTAATACTATAACGGAATTCCAAATTCCAGGTACACTATGTACCGGTTTATTTGGGTGTCATGCATCAGAACTTATCAATGGCTGTGATAACATCTGCTTTTTGGCTTTCAAATGAAATCCGTCGTGTTCCAAAGTAAATAGTTACTGTATGATTGTTACGGTGGTAAATATCTTCCACTCAAAAGTGAAGGAACACTTGCAGATGTAAAAATAGATCTTCAAAAATGGTCGAATAGACTGGAATTGTTAGCTGTTTTTATTAATAACAAATGAATCAAGTTTTCACGGTTCTTCAACCGTATGCAACTTTTCCTTCTGAAGTTATTTGTTCATAATTGTATATTTTATGTTGTTATACTGATATTATTTGTTATAGCTACAAAATATTTTTGCTTTCATATCTGACGTCATTCCTAGTTGTTTTATCAATAAAATTTGTTTTATAATAAACTTTTTCTAGCTTTCTACTTATGCGTCTAAATAAAATGAAGGGATTATCTGAATCGCTCAAATGTCTTCTCTTGGAAAGGGATTCAAATTGTCAATTCTTCCCGAAAACAAAAGATGGGCATTGGTATTTAATTTTTTTGGTCTTTAGCAATGTCTCTTGGAACAATTTTCCCTACATTATTAGGATGTACCGTACTGTCCTGCTAGGTAATTTTTCAATTATGAATCCATTTATTAGTTGAAAACCCTCTTGTGGTACTTGATGAGGTTGAAATAAATGAAATTCTTCATATCACTAAAGATTAGAAAAAAACCAAGTCCCCTTTTTCTAGTCCCAGTCGTTAATTACAACATAATGCACACAATATTAACTTTTTATTTATTTGTCCTTCCGTTAGAACATGGATGACCAATGGACTTCTTTCTCGCTTTATAAATTGAGCTAAAGTAATTAGTGGTGCTTTTTTAATTATTTGTATTATTATGTGTCATATTTGGCATATTTGGACCATATCTAATATGACACTAGCAAGAATATTTTAATAAATTCGAATAGCTAAGAGAAATTATAAAAATATCCTTTGCCTACTTCTGTTATAATCTCAGAGCGCTTTTTTTTTTCTTATGAGTAATTTTTTTTCACCTCAGTTGCTGAGAATATAATATTTCGAATATTTTTTATTTTCATCAAGTTATCATTTCCGTAAATTAATCCTTCCACAAATTGTTCTTCAGAAAACAATCAGCAGCAAAGAATCGTTCCAATTCTTTGTTGTTGTTTAGTTATTTAAATAATCTAGACAAATTTCTGTGAATGATCCATCAAAAACATAAGTTTTCACGAAAGCTGGAGAAATTGTTTGATAGAAATCGATTGATCTACTTGAATTACTTTTTAATAAGATTTTATTCAATTCTTATTCGATAATTAATTGCAATAGATTATCACTTAATACTTCGTTCATTCTTGATTTCAACAAAACATACTAATTTATAGAAGTACTTATTAATGATAAATTTTGTAGATAATCGACAGTGATTGATATAAATTATCTACGTTTTGATAGTCTATTAGAATAAAGATTATCTAAATAGTATTAATCTATTAGCTAAAAGATAAAGCTATCAGAGGAGGGAAAAAAAACTCAAATAATGATAGGAGATAGGGAGAAAGAGATCAAATCTGTTTCACTCCATTATTCCAAATAATCGAATTCTCGTCATTCATTCAATATATCCATTTTATGATCACACATTTCTGATACAAATTTTCCTCTTTTTATCAAATTGAATTTTTTTTTTTCACTTTATTAAAATATTATTTTGGTATAAACTTTCATTCACATTATTAAAGTTATGTTATTGTAATTTATTAAGTTAAATAATAAACAGTACCCATAAATTGCTAATTCTTAGCTGTACATTGGCTCGATTATAGTCATTCGATCTTGAACAGTCAACAGTATTGGCTAAGCCAAGAAAACAAGTCCAGTAGAAAGAAATGATTAAATGGCAAATGAATAATGCAAGTGAAACTGAAGTGACTAATTTTTTTTTTTCATTCCATAATATTTCAATTGTATTTCACTCTTTTAGCTTCAAATTTTTTTCAAATCTTTCAAAAATTTTCTTTCAGCAAATGTCAGATTTAAAGCAATGGACAACTATTTCATCTGGTGCTTCCTTATCAAAGATATTTATTGGACGAATGATAAAAAGCCGTGAAATAGGTAAACGTGTAAGGTCAATAAGTCATCACGCATCGCTTATGCCAAATACATCCAGTGCTTCGGAAAAGCCAACAAGTTATCAGGCATCTCCGTCAAATACATCCAATGCTTTTACACAAAATGAGAAAGCTAATCTCGTCAATAGGTTAGTAGCTAATTTAAATTTTAATTAAAGTAATCGTATGAAAAAAAAAAAAAAAAAACCATTCAAGATGACGTAATCTAATGGATCATTTGTTGCGTTATCTCTTTAAATTCGAATAGAGCATAGCAAGTTATTTTTTACGTACGTCATTTCTACGTAAATTCTTTTATACATTTGCTTATATAGTGTTCACATTCACTCTAGAAATGTACCTTTAGGTTTTTACCCAATCAATGGACATTGATCACAACGATGGATTCTGAATTATTTCGCTGTTTACATTTACCAAACGAGACGTTCGTCACTTTAGCTAAAGGTAATACTGTATCAGTCATTAAACTAAATTCATTTTAATCCTAGTAGAATTTTTACAAAATACGTAAATAATAAATCGTTGAATGAATAAGTTTGTCTCTAACATTTTTTCTTATGTCAAATATAATATTAATGTATTCCAAATGATTTCGTTCAAAAACTCATTTTATTAAATTTTTTTTCTTTTTTTTTTTTCTCGAAAAATTTTCTCGTTAATATTTAATTCTAAATGAATTTTCGTAATTTTCCAGATAAATGGTTACGTTTTTATGTCAGAAAACAATCAGAATATGAATTAAAGAATACCATTCGTTTACCTGATAAAGAAGGACTTGTGACAGATTTAACTCGAAGTACGAGGGGTGATCAGCTAGCGTATACAGCTTCTAATGCATATCGTACATTTTCTTCCTTACTATTATTTTTCATTATTATTTAGTTAGATTAAATTTTTTTAATTCAACATTTTATTTGATTCATTTATGTTGAATATATAATATTTTATTATATTACTTAATTGATTTCATGAAAAATATGAAAAGTTCAGTATTATAGTTTACCACTCTTACATAAATCAAATTGATCATGACTCGAATTGGAATGTATTTCACACACCACCATTACCGCCAGTTAGAGGATGGTAAGTTGTTCTTACTTCTATTACTATATTTCTTGCTAAAGGATCTATTTTTTTTTTTTTTAATTTTAAATTAATTTATGTAAATCTTTTTTTATACATGCAATTTCTATTAATAAGATATTGTTTTTCAAATTTTGAATTTGTAATTGTAGAGGAAAAAAAAAAATTTCAGGGAAGCATACTTTAGCGTACGATATACATTAGATGATAAATATCTGATAGTTGGCGGAGCAGGTGGTTATGTAAGCATCATCGGTATCGATCGACCTTCTCATTATTCAGTGAAGTTTTTTTGTTTTGTTGAATTTTCCTCAGAAGTTATATTTCAATGTGATGTGATATTAGAGACAATTGCAAACAAAACAAACAAATATTATATAAGTATTCGAAAATTTCAAGAAGTCATAAACGGGTTGGCTAAATTTGATGTGATACTGTGCTTTTGGTTACAATAAAATTTACGAATAAAAAGTATATGTATTAAAACTTAAAAAATGGAATACTTTTTTAGTTCTGTGCTCATCAAAATGACGTTAAAGCAATTCACTGCTCCAAAGCTGATCCACATCTTTTTTGTAGTGGAAGTAGTGATGGATGTTGTAAAGTAAGTGAATTCTTTTGTATTCAAAAAATATTTAATGAGTTATTCATATATCTTGCTAAAATTATAGCAATCTGTTAGCGTACTTAAGATAATTCACAATACATAGTAGGATTAAAAGATGAATGAATATGCATCATTATAAAAAGTTTAATAGTGAAATATAATTTTTATAACATTCGTATTAAATTGTTCAACATCAAAATTAGAAATCTTTTGTGTAATAAATTATACTTTATTATATTAATAAATATATTAATAAATAGGAAATTTTTGATAACAAATGAAGCCGTAAAAATGATAGCTTAGTAATTTATACATAAGTATAACGCAAAAATTTCATTAAAACGTTCAAATTAAAGCTTAAAGGTAGAATTCTATTGCATATCGAATTATTTTGATAGTCACTGATTAAATTAGATGTAATTATTTATAGATCCTAAATTGTTAGGTTTAGCTATGGGATGATCGTGCGCTTAATAATAATACTCCGCTTGCTATATCCGCTGGAAATGGATATAGTATAAGTCACATCGATGGTGACAGTTATAATAAGTATATCGTAACAACTTCCATCGGAGGAACAATTGCTGTTTGGGATTTACGCCGATTTTCCGAGGTTTAAGAAATAATATTATATATAATTACAGACGCAAAAGATATTTTAAATTGGAAACCAAATAAATTTACTGCATCTGGTAATAAGTTATGTAATTAATACTAACTTACATATAGTTTATGATTGGAAGATTTGCTTACGTTTTCTCTTTTGGTTCATTTTCATTTCCTGCAGAATAATTCATTTCCAGAATCTCCCACTCAATGTACATCAAAAAGAAAGTCATGAAGAAATACCTCGTTTTAATACAGGTTATTAAGTGTAAATTTATTTTATTTATACAAAAAATTTATCATAACTAGTCCTAAAGTTAAATTAGAGATTGGATAAAATGAAACAATTTAATAGCTAATTAGAGGAAGTAACACAATATTGACATTCATTATGCCTATAATAAATTTCTTATATCATAAGATATATCATATTAATATGAATGCTATTGTTTAATTAAATTTCATTAGCACTAAAAATAAAAGGAGGAAATACGTTGGAAATTTTTTGGCAAGCCAAAATTTCACCAGAAAGAACTGGTCATCGGTATATTTATTGTGGTAGCGATAGCGGATGTGTATATGGTAAGTTTGCAACGATATTTTCAGCTATTTAATTTATTTAATGAAATTTTTTTCTCTTAATCATCTGTTCTAATATTGTTTTTTTTTTTTTAGTTTTTGATATTGTATCGGGTCAAAGCACATATTCATTTCGAAAATGCTACATTGGAATACATGATTGTAGTTGGCATCCAACTGATAACGAAATTATTAGTGTATCGGTAAGATACAACATTGCTAATATGATTTTCATATTTATAAATAAGCAGAAATTCTTAATAAATGCGAAAAAGTTAATTAAGTTCTAAAGAAAGAAAAAAAATAAGTAAATAAATATTTATTTATTTATTTAGCTACGTGGTGCAACGGCCAGATGGTATTATAAAGAAAAAGGCACATCTATTAATAGATGAATTGTTTTTATGCAAATTTTGAAATTTATCAGATTACTTTTGAATGTTATTTTTATTTATTTTCTCAGGTAATATTGCTGATTCCTTTATTTTCTCAGGTAATATCATCGATTCTTTCATTTTCTCAGGTAATATCATCGATTCTTTCATTGACAAATAGCTCATAGTCTTTATATTCCATTCCATGTATATGCTAATAATTTCATAAAGATATTATTTATTGCTATTTTTCAAATTTCTTATATTTTATACATATTTCAAATGTATGATGAATTGTGTTCAGTATTGTAACATGTATGTGACATATCTTTGAATAATATACTTTATGCCTTTATTTCAGTTTCTATTGCAACTTTATTTTATTTATTTATTTCTTTTTTTCATAAATTTCTAGAGCAAACTAGCTTTTAGTATGTAAATTGATAAAATATTTTCTAAATCCACTCGATTATGCTTATTTTTTTTTCTCTCAATTTCTATACTTCACTGAATTTTTCTGATACGTTTTAATGTTTATTGTTTATTGAAGAATAATGCTAATACAATTATTATATGTAGGTGTAAATAGAGATATGAAATTAGAATTGATTTGATAGTAATTATTTTGCTATATTATACGATTTTATATGAATATTGACTTTTTTTTTTCATTTCAAATTTTCATGTTTTTATCAGTTTCCTGATTCTTGACTTCATTGTATTATAGAATCAATAAAAAAAAATTGTAAACTATCATTAACAAATACATTAAATTGTTGATATTATCAAAAGATATCATTTGAGATGTTTTATTTCAGCAATTCAATTACAAATTTCACAAACAATTTAAATTTGAAAATGTGATAAGAATGAAAGTACAATTAAAATGATAACTCATACTTTATATGAATTTTTTCATTTCTCTTCGAAGATCAATTTCTGAGAGAGAGAGAGAGGGAGGGAGAGAGAGAAACTGTTGCAAAAGATAGTCCTTTAGGCTTTAACATTAGTCATCAATCATTTTATCAATTGTTGTTCAATGACGAAAGAAACTAATGGCATTAGTTTTAGTTACATTTAAAAATGCTTAAAGATGGCTATTAGCAAAATGCATTCCTTTTGATTATCAAAATGTATTTCTTTCTCAGAAATGATTTAAAATGATAAAAATTAAAACGTATGATGCAATTTTATTGATTGTAAATCAAAAATCAGAAAAATGATGAAAATATGAAACTAACATTTCTATCAAATTGGCAACAATATCTTTTTTTTTTTTTTTTTTTTTTTGCTAAAAATATCATCCATTGATCTATTCAAATTGTTGAATTAATTGATATATCGAATAAATTAAAATACAACATTAGTGGGAGGGAATTTCATGCAAAAATATTTTCAATTTGGCAAAAAATTTCAACAACAATCATATCAATAAATGATAATATACTTAAAATAGCTCAGGAGAAGAAGAAAAAAAAAAAAACAAATGTGTAAAACAATATAAAAAGGAAAAACAAATAATAAATTGAGCAAATTTATTTTAGTGTTTTTGAAATTGAGAAAAACTCAATAATTTAAGAGTAATTTGTGAATTTCAAATGAAAATTCAAATTCACAAATAACAGTGAAATAAAATATCAAATTCAGCAATTAGCAATCAATAAGACATTAAACAATTATCCCATTTATGAAAATAAAACATTGACTAAACAAATTTTTTTAGCTAATAAATTTCACATTTCAGAATAATTTCAAATTTGAAATTTATTTCAGCTAAAAATTTGAAACCGAATTTTAACATTCAGCTTGAAGATGTAATAAATTGTGTAATTGTATAAAAATAAAAAGTAAATGATATGAAAATTTGTTAATTTCAATTGAAAGAGAAAAAAAAGTGAATCAAATATTTTTCGATTTTTTTTTTTTTGTAAAATAATTTCGAAACTTTTTTTGATAGCATATTAACTCACAAATATACATAACAAATTTGTGATATTTATCAATAAAAGGACAATAAAAGGAGCGATACGATGTCACAAACAAAAAGAGCAAAGATCAATAAGCAAAGATCAATGAGCAAAGATCAATAGTTAAAAAGTATTTTGATTTAATTCAAATAAATTCAAAGTATGCGGTATTGGAGAGAAAAAAAAAATTGAAATTGAATAAACTATAAGCATAATATGATAACCATCCATATTTTAGCTAGCATCATACCATAATACTCCCATAGCATTTCGCTAAATAAAAATATGAAATTATTATTAATAAACTAATCATTTAATAATTAAATTTGTTTCAATTGAAAAGAACATTATTATAAAAATAATCAATCAAAAATTATAACTATTGATGAAAAAAAAAAGAAAAACTACTGATAAAATAAATAATTCAAAATGAATTTTAATTATCAATAGATGAAAATAATAATACTGAAATTGTCAGCTGACTTGTTAAAATAATAATACTGAAATTGTCAGCTGACTTGTTAAAAAGAAATTTTGTTTAGTTTGCAAAATTTTTTCGATTAATTTTTACTTTTTGAATGAACAAATTGCACAAAATGAGTGGAATGAGAAGAAAATGTAAAAATGAAAATAATTTATTAATTTTTTTTAAATAAATTAAATATTCGGAATTATTTATTTATCAAATATATCTTAAACAATTTCTGCTGAATATATGCAATTGCATAATGTTATTGGAATTATTTTATTTTATTGTTTTATTATATTTTCAATTTATTCAACCATTTGTACATTAACATATATTAATCATATTTGAAGTAGGTAAATTTTTCATTTTACATACAGTTTAATGAAATGAATAAACTCGCCAAAAGTTATCCAAATTCAATTTTCAAATTTTAAACTCTTACTTTGAAATTAACCAAATTTAGTTTTAGCATTAACAAATGAAAATGAAAAAAAAAAAAGAAAATTTCTTATTAATTTATTTAACAATAAGTTAAAATTGTAAAAATACTGTCGCATATTTAAAAATAAAATATTATTCCAGTTTCTATTATCAATAACAGCAATTCGTTATTTGTAAAAATAATTTGATAATTTATTAACAAGTACTGATTATCTTCCTTATTCTCATTCTTGTATCATTATTATTATTATTATTATTATCATTATCATTATTATTATCAGTTATTTGTTATCAGTTACTATTATTAATTTTACTCAACTAACTGATCTTACCGACACACTGACGATTTCATTATCATTTGGATGCCAACTGCAGTCGTACACTTCACATTCATCCCTAGTGAATTCTTTAACCATTTCACCCGTTACAATATCAAAAACTATAAAATCACAGTCTTAATAAATATTATATTTATTTTTAGTATTTGTAAATTTTGTTTTTGTTTTTGTTTGTTTGTTTTTTTGTTTTTTCAAATAAATAAACATAATGAAGTACATTTGAAACATACTACTAATAGTTCCAATATTGCTACCACAATAAATAAAGCGATGTCCAGTTCGTCTTGGTGAAAATTTAACTCGCCAGAATATTGCCGATAGATTTTGTTTTTTAATTGTCATTGCTAATAGTACAATATTTATTTAAGCATATTTTATTAATTTAATAGAAAAAAAAAAAAAAAACTTTAAGAATATATACAAAAAATTTTTTTAAAAAAAAGTTAAAAATATATAAAGAAATAAAAATAAATTGAATGAGAATATTGAAATTTCTTTATTGAAATTAAAATTATTTTTATTGGCGTAAAATAAATTTGCATATGAATAAATGATAACCTTTATAAAAAGTTGGAATATCACCCCATAAATTTGATTCTTGGTGCTTTTGTTTTATGTCAAATGAAATAACCTAGAAATAAAATTACTTAATAAAATATATGAAATGCATTTAGGAAAGATGTAAAGAACCTTATCAAAAAATATTCATAATCTAATTTGCTAAATTTTTTTATTTTAATAATTTAATAAATAAAAATTTAATAAATAAATAAATAACATATTGTTATAAAAGATATTCACTATAAATTAGCAAAATCATTTAATAAATTTTAATTTTCATTTAATAATAATAATAATAATAATAAATTTTGCTAAACAAATGAATTTTATAAATTTATAATTATTTTAAAATATTTCAACTTGATGTTTTTTCTCGTCCTAAAACACATCGAAGCATTAATCTTATGCCAAAATGCTATCGTTACCTTTTATTTGAAAATTAATATTTCAATGCTTTAACACAAATGATATCATTTAAATGATACCTCAGAAAATTGTCTTACATCCAAAATATCAAATTTTACGCCACCAGAAGTTATCACAACGTATCTATCAAAAGTGTCACAATCAATATGTGTAATTGCATAATCATTTGTAAAAGAACTTGCAAGTGGAATAGATTTATTTGGCGTACGACAATCCCACATCTAAATGTAATATTATATTTAATAATTAATAACTATTAACTATTATAATTCCATTTTAAAAACTATCAGTAAATAATAAAATAATATATTCACGTAAATAAGTTTTTGTTTACTTTTAATAAACAACATGTTTAGAAAAAAAAAAAAAAAAAAACATAAACAAACATTTAAAAAACATAAATAAACAAATAGTTTCATTATAAATTATCGCTTATGTAGTAATGATTATTTGATAAATTTTATGCTGTAAGAAGAAATTTTAACTAATTACTTAATAAAGATAAAAACTAATTTACCTTACAAAAACCATCACTGCAACCGCTATAAAAAAGATTTGGATTAGCTTTAGAGCAATGAATTGCTTTAACATCATTTTCATGACCATCAAACTGAAATCATAAAGTTAATTATTACTAATTTCATTGGGATTATTTTTATTTATTTATTTATTTTTTTCAATTCAAAAATTATAAATGCTAAAATTAAATATCAAATATCATACAATGCTGCTAATGAATGAATGAATGATGAGAAAATTAAAATAAAATGAATGAAATATACTGAGTAATGAGTATGTTCATCTACACCCACAATACTTATACGACCACCTGCTCTTCCAATTACTAGATTTTGATCATCCATTGTATAGCAAATGGAAAAAAATGCATCTCTAAAAATTTAAAAATTTTTAACATTTAAAATTTTTAACAATTAGAAATAAATTAAATGAATTAAAATCACAAAATTTGAATTTTTTGCTAAGAATAAAAAAAATTCTATCATTTTTTTTTTCAAAATTTTCAAAATCAGTTAAATGTTGTTTATCAAAAACAAAAAAAAAAAAAAAAAAAAAAACATGAAGCATAGCTAGCTAACCGTCTTCTAGGTATTCTTTCTTGGTTTGGCTGAAATCTATTCCATTGCAATAATCCATCATTAATTTGATCAATAGAACAATGATAAGCTACAACAGATAAATCTATCAAATATTTTTGCTTAAATTAAATTTAATTTTCAAGAAAAGTTTAAATTTAAAAAAAAAAATTAAGAAATTATCTTTTTCTTTTTATTCACATATATTACAATTTAAATTAACCAAATCGTATTCCATTGTTATCTGTTCACACGAGAAGCAATGATAAACTGATAAAATGAATTTAATCAATCATAAAATTGATAAATGTAATATTATCATTATCAAATTGAAATAAGCAACATTAAGAAAAGATATTACCACTTGTATCAGATGTATGACCAAATAGACCACTTCTTGAACTACGAGCTAAATTATTAAATGTTGAATTAAAATTAATGATAAACTTATCAGAAAGAATAAACATTATGAATAATGATAATGATGATGATAATAATGATAATAAAAATGATACCATATGCATTAGAAGTTGTATATGCCAATTGATCACCTTTTGTGCTACGAGCAAAATCAGTAATAAATCCATTATTTGGGATACCAATTTGATCAATGAATTGATAACGTGGTGGTTGACGAATATAAAAGCGTAAACTTTTATCTGAAACAATTTGTTGATAAAATTTTTTGAGGTAAAAATTTGTAAAATTTTCATTTTCAACTACTAACATTTTCAAATTTCAGAGTACTTTCTTTTAATCTTTGTGAAAGTAAAAATTTAATAAAATTTTTACCTTGACCTATAGTAACAAATCTTTCATTTGGCAAATGTATACAACGAAATAATCCCGAATCAAGCTTATCAACATCTGTCCATTTATTAGGAAGAAATCTAAAATTAAAATTGAAAGCAATGAAATTTTAAAATTGTTCACAATTGAAAATTATTTAGTAATGTAGTAATAAATAAATATATCATAGTATTTATTAGTAACATTTTTTCTTTTTATAATTTTACTTAAATTAAAATTTACATTAGCAACTAATAACCTATTGACAAAATTAGCTTTTTCACTTGGTGTGAAAGCATTGGATTTATTTGCAAGAGATGATGTATGCAAATTTATCAGCTTTTCCGAAGCACTGGATGTATTTGGCATAAGCGATGCGTGATGACTTATTGACCTTACACGTTTACCTATTTCACGGCTTTTTATCATTCGTCCAATAAATATCTTTGATAAGGAAGCACCAGATGAAGTAGCTGCCCATTGCTTTAAATCTGACATTTTCTGAAAGCAAATTTTTGAAAGATTTAAAAAAAATTTGAAGCTAAAAGAGTGAAATACAATTGAAATATTATGGAATGAAAAAAAAAAAAAATTAGTCACTTCAGTTTCACTTGCATTATTCCTTTGCCATTTAATTATTTCTTCTTACTGGACTTGTTTTCTTGGCTTAGTCAATATTGTTGATTGCTCGAGATCGATTGGTTGTAATCGAGCCAATGTTCAGCTAAGAATTAGTAATCTGTTAGCATTATTCATTATTTAACTTAACTTTAACGAATCACAACAAAATAACCTTAACGATAGTAATAATATGATCGAAAGAATTATACCGAAATTTACCTTAACGCTACCGAAAAATTACACCAAAACGACACTTTCTCAATGTCTAGAAAATTCAAATTGATAAAAAGAGCAAAAATTGTTGTGTCAAATATGTGTGACTATAAAAGATGAGCAGATCAAATGAATGATGAAAATTCGATCATTTAGAAAACAATGGAATGGATTCAATAAGTCGATCTTTCTATCTTCTGCCCAATTCTTTAGGTTTTTTTTTTTTTCTTCCCTCTTTTGGCAATTTTGCCCTTTGGCTAATTGATTATTATTACTGAGATAATATTCTACAAAATTTATTACTAATAATTACTATCATAAATTAGTACATTTTGTTGGAATCAAGAATGAACAAAGCGACATTAGGTGACAATCTATTGCAATTAATTATCGAATAAGAATTGAATAAAATCTTACTAAAAAGTAATTCAAGTAGATCAATCGATTTCTATCAAACAATTTCTTCAGCTTTCGTGAAAACTTATATTTTTGATGGATTACTTTTTTATCATTTATGAATAGTACTATTTGTAAAATTGGAAAGTACCGGAAAAACTATCCTGTTCAGTAGTACCTAGAAATTGCTTAAATTAAAAACAAAAAAAATGGCTTCGTTTATTGATAACTAATCAGTGATAAAAAATTAGTTAAAACATTCTTTGCTAAAATATCTGATTGTTTCTAAAGAATATTTGTGGAAGGATCAATGTACAGCAATGATAAGTTGCTAAGAATTAAAAAGAAAATATTATCAAACATTTGTTTATTGCTTTAGTTTTGTTTGAAAGAAGGAAAATATATTCTAAGCTTAATTATGCTTACAGCTAGCTAACATTGTGCTTAATATTAGTTTTTAAAATACGCTTTGTGTTATTAATAATTTAATACAAATGTTTGTAATTTAAAAATAGCTAAATTTCTGTAAAATATTTTGTTTGTAATTTTGTAATTTTATTCCGACAAATATTTTTGTTATTTTCAAAGGTTAAATTATTATCATCCATTTTAACCTTTGAAACTTAAATTTATGCTCACTTTTTGTTAAGTTTAATTCTTTAATTCTTTTTTAGCTCATCAAACTTTTGCATATTACTTCTCCTTTCATTGCAGAAAATAAAATTGCATTATTACTTTTTAGCAATACTTAAGTTAACTGAAAAATTTCTTACTTATTAAACAATTATTCCACTTCTTACCTACCTGTATGCATTATAACTTTTTGTCGTATGAACAGCTTCATTCAAAAGTTATAAAAGTTAGTTGTAAAATTATACGATATTTTGGAGTAGAAATTACGATACGGTAATAATTCCACAATTTCTAATATAATATTTCTTTTTTTTAAAAAAAAAAAAATTAGAGGTAAAAGAAAAAATATTAAGTAACAAACTAATAGAAAAAAAAAAATTTCCCTTACTTTTTTTGCTTTTGAGTTTTGACTTTTATTTTTAAATTTTGTCAAAATTTTAAAAAATTTTTAATTTCTTTTTTTAAAAAGTTGCTTTTTTCAAAATTTTTTTTTTTACACCAAATTCTTCATTAAAAAGTGCTCTTTTCTATCTAACAATAATTCTTTATTTAAAGTTGAATTTTATTTTTTTTTTTTTGTAGTGCAAATATTATTGCAATTTGAAATATCGTTGTGAGAAAAGGTAAGTACCATCTGCTGAATATTGCTTTACTGATAACCTATATTGCAAAATATAATATCTTAAATTTTTTAGATAATGAAAAGAAAAGTAACAAATCAATTTTTTAAAAGTTAACGCTTCAGTCCATCTTGAATGGTATACCTTTGTACTCTAAAGAAAAAGATGAGTAATCTTAGATTTAAACATCTATTTTCTTTTTAAATTAATCAGGTATTAATGATTAATGACATTGTGGTAATACGTGAAAAGTTTTTGTAAAAGCCTTCGTCGTATATGATAAAGTTTCTTACAAAAACTCGATGAGTAATCACAGAAATAATGAAAAAAGCAATAAACCGATTCAATATTAATTAAAAAGGAGTACAGTTTATGTTTCATACTGTCACCAGCATTTTTCATTTTGAAATCCAATTTTCAATTTTAAAAATACACTTCAAATGTATTGAAATTTTTTAACCAAAAAATTTATTATATATTCTTGATTTGGAAATTTAATCAATTCAGCTATCTGAACTATAAGTACATTTATGTGAAATCAAGGTGTGGAACGTTTATCGAGAACTACAAACAATGCATTCTTGTTGTTTTGATAATTTTATTTCCGATCCAACGAACAGTTTTATTTTAAACATTCCAATAGCGCTTCTCAGTTGTCAACAGCGCACATTAAGCAAGATTTGGTGGAAAAATATGAAAGAAATACGATAAATGAGTTTATGCAAATTAATGTTTTGAATACTTTTATGTGCACTCTTTTCGATTTTTTCAGGATATTATGCAATTTTAAGATTTTTCTATAAGAGTTTCTATGAGGCGAAACTTTCTTCAGCAATGTATTATTTATGCACTCACAACAACTTTTGCATAAACTTTTGCAAATCTGAAATATTTTATGTTTTATATCATATATCATTCAATGTAAAAGGATCAGCTAAAGTTTATTTCGATTTTTTGCAAACGAAATTTCCACTTAATCTTTTGGTGTGAAATGAAATAATTAAAATACAAAGATTAATGCTGTTGATAACTATAACAACAATGAACAGTTTTAACAATAAATTATACTGAATATATTTTGGTCATTTAAAAATTTTACGACGATTTTGACTTCAATTCAAGTGACTTCACCGTCCATCATGATATAATCTGAGTCAACAGGTGAAAAATCAATTAACTCTTACAGAAAACTTATGGAATAAATTAATATTTTACATGCGACCAGATTGTAAATAGCGTTTGAGTAAAAGAAATGTCAAATGCATTCTGCTTCTAACTACTAGTCAATTTTACTTTTTTACTTTCCATGAAATTTCAACTTTTACTTTGAGGTTAAAATTTGGACAAAGAAATGCGTGTATATATTTTTTCGACCGTATTTCATCAATTTGATTTATGTGCGAACTTTCAGAATAAATAAGTGCTTGTTGCGGTATGGTTATGGTGACATCAGATTTCTGAAGTGTAAGCTAATTACTAAGTAATTAACATTTTTGTGCTTTATGAAATTTAAATAAATTTCTGTAAATTTAAATCTTGGAACAAAAAAAAGAAGAATGTACAGTATTTAGTAAACAACCATTAGCGCAACTAATCTGCAAAAAAAGAAGATAAAAAAAATAAATTGAATTAAGAATTAAGTAAAATAAAAATAAGACAAAACGATAGTAGTAAAATGTACTTGCAGGTAGTAAGCATCATTATTCCTAGCTCTATTTTCCTAATTAGAGAAAAGAAGAGAAAGGCATTTGAAAGAAGTGCAAGTAATGCAATTTTGGATAGGTCAATAATATGAAATTAAGATATATCACTAATTAAAAATAAAAAACTTACTTGTTTTCGGTAATTTTTATTTTAAAAACATCTCATATAAATTTGAATTAATGATTGTTTTCCCTTTTAGCCTTTTCATCACCACTACAAATAAGGTAGAAAGATTTGTATACGATACAAATTATTTGCATAAAATAGCCATGCAAATGATCACAAATTAATAATAGCAGCTTAACAGCATATCCATTCACGTACAGCTAACAAAAATAAATCCCAGTAACTGAAATTTAAAAATTTTGAATAGCTATTAAATTATATATATATATATATATATACATTTATACTTCCACCTTCCCAGTACCCTACTGAAGATCATCAGTTTGCATGGGACGGAAAGTTGCATATGTTACATTTATATATATTCAAAACTATATTATTATTTGTACTGAATAAATTGACATAAACTGAGAAGAAAAGAAGAAATATGAATGCACAGAATATATTCCTCATAATTACAATAATATTAAATGGTAAAGTAGCAATTAACAATGGCAATGATTAAGAAATGGCAAATTATTTGATTAATAATTAGCAAATGATTAAGAAGTAAATCAAGTTGCCTTCAGCAATATGTATTTAATCTAAGAAATGAAAAAATGAAACAATATTAGTCTTAAAAAATTGGTAATAACAGACTTATCAAAATAACCAAAATAAGCAATCGAAATCCAGGACGAATCATTTTCGAGTGCGCAGATCATAAATGAAACTTATTTTTGAAATTGTTCGGAGCTTTCCAAAGTCAAATTTAACAATGTTTGAATATTACTTCTCATATGCCGGAACACAAATCAATAAAAATCAACAATAAATAAAAGAAAAGGTTAGAAATGCTTTAAACATTGAGTGATTCTATTCTCGATCTATCCCCAAAAGAATACTGAAGAAGAGAGAGAGAGAAATGCTCTTCTTTTGTATAGAAGAGTACTCATATAGATTACTTAGTCACGTAGATAGATTACTTGCTCATATAGTCATGTTACTTAACAGTCTGTGTAGATAATGTTAGACCTCCCACAAGTAATAGCTCTCTGTAAGGACCAAACCGACTGCTGGGATCTTCGATGTATTTACATATTTGCACTTAACCATTTTCCTATAATATTCATTTCTGTGATATCTATTATTGTTATTATTTTGCTTAATTAATGAACTTTGGCTAATTATGGTTTATTTCAGATTTCGTTGAATAATGTTAGCTGCGAATGAAGAAGGCCCGGCAATGCCGGGAATATTCGATGTTCTCCGTTATTTGGAGAACGAACCTGTAATGCAACACACATTACAGGAATTTATTAATATGACGCAGCACGTAAGTATTTCATTTTTCTTTTTATTTATTCATTCGTTTTTCATAAATTGATTTATGGTCTTCATTCTTGGTGTTGGTACTTTATTACGGTAGAAGAAAATTATAAGAAATGTTACTAAACTTATGTTGCGAATACTGAAATTAATGAAAAAATAATCATTGTACGGTTTTCAGCTGAATGCCCGCTTGACTGAGGCAGAAAGAAGACTGGCGGAATATGAAGGGCAAAATGCCCAACAAGAAATGGAAGTAGAAAAAATGGAGGAGGGGCCGGCACCTCAGGAGCCGGGATTCAATATAGAGGAAGCAGAGTGGGCACCTCTGCCGGAGAGTGATGATGAAGCCGAATGGCTAGCAGAGGCAGAGTGGGCTCCTCTGCCCGAAGACAGCGAGGAAAATCCTGAGGTGTCGGTGGCACCGGTGGAATCAAGTGGTGATAACGAACCGGAAGAAACAGTCCGAGAGATCGTCCTGTAAGTTTTAATTTAATGCACTGGAAAGAAATTAAAACAAACAATGAATTTTGCTAATCACATGAAACAGATAAATCTAGCTAAATTTAAATTTATTTCAGGAGATCAAGGACGATTAAGGTCCCGGTTCCAGCCACAAATACAACGTTGGCTGCGGCGACACCGGAAGCATTCCGTCCCGCAGATCTAGGGGACCTTCCGGAACAGCTCCGGAGAGAGCTGGAAATGCCGCAGGCAGAGCAGTACACGGTGCTTCGAGCGGAGGGAACTATCAGCATCGGTAAATTTTTAATTTTAGCATCGAAGTAAATCATGTATCTGTATTTTGGTTTACTTCATTTTCAATGAATTCCAAGACAAAATATCCATAGATAATGTCTATAATAAATTTTTTTTTGATTTTAAAATAATATTTTTCTATTTTCAGTGTGCGGCATCTGCAACAGGCAGTTTGACACGCTGAAAGGGTGGCGCATCCATGCTTCGAGGATGCATAAGCAGAATGGTAAGTACTTTACAGCAATTTCCCTAGTTTTACATTTGGCTTGGTCTAAAAAATACCAAATTCATTAACTATACATATTATAGGTTTCTGCGCCCGTTGTGGGCATTATCTTCTGCTGCCACCCGACTTTACGGCTGAGCAGAAGACTGCAGCCATGGAACTGCATGCCCTTGACTGGTGCCCAAGGGCATGCGCAGCGGTAATGAAAGAACGACAGGTGAAACGCCGCCGTTTGAATCTTGTGGGGAGAGAAGAGGACACCCACCACCTCTTCGTTCCAGGTGAGAAATGCTTGAAAAATTCATGAAGTAAAAATCAGAAAGTTTGAAAAAAAGAAACTTTGAATGATTATAGAAAACAAACATTCAACTTATAACAAACAAAGAATTTCCTAATCACTGAATCGCTCTTTCAGGCCAATAACATCTTTTGGCATTCCCCATGCGGTCAACCTGTCGCTGCCTGTTCCAAAAAGTTCCCCACCCTCCAGCCAATGAAGCCAGTCAAGCGGGTTAGCAGGTTTTAAATGAAATAAAAAATGAAAAAAAAAAACAAAGAAAATAAAAAAAATGAAAATAAAGTAACATAAAAAAGAATAAAAAAATAAAAATAAAAAAAAATAAAAAAAATAACAAAAAACAAAAATAAAAAGAAAATAAATAATTAAAAAACAAAAAAAAATTAAAAAAAAAAGAAAAACCAAAAAAAAAGTTTTTTTTGCAGTTTTTTTTTTCAACTAATATTGTTTGTGGTGCGGTTGAATTCTAAATGTGCTTAATAAGAAAGTGGGGATTTGCAAATTTTTGGAAGACCAATTTGGATAGTATATATTATCACTATTAGTTGGAAAGATCGGGACTTGAAAAATAAGTTTTTCATTCCATTTCGAATTCAACTGCTTACTTTTAATTTTAAATTTTTGTGGCCCTCATTTGGGCAAATAACTTGTTGAATGTTTAACTAATTATATGCTTTAATTAATTTTATGCCTCTTTTTACTAATATTTTTTTTGTTTTTTGTTAAAGTTCAATGTTCAATGTTCTCATAATATATTTTGTTTTTTTATATTTTACTTTACAATTTTTGATGTTTGTTTGTTTATTTGTTTGTTTTTTTTTAACAGTTTTTTTTTTAACTACGATTTATTAACATTTGTTGTTGGTGAAGTATTTTTATTTTAAATGTGGATATGAATATAATATAGGTATATTGTTATCATTGATGAATTCTTGCCAAAATTTGAAATTTTCTAAGGGGATTTTTTGCTTTAATTTGTATTCATTTCCCATTTTTTAGTTTTTTTAATTTCAATGGCGCATGGGAAACTAGCATTAGTTGAAATCCTAATGTTCCAAGTAGCTTATTATTCACATTATTTTATTTTTACATCCATTTTGATTTTAAAACTTTTTCATGTTGTTTAGATTTATTTTTTGCTGGAGATTTTTTCATAGATAGGGTACCAACTCGTGTTCTAATTAAGTCATTAATATTTCAACTTCAATTGTAGTTTGATTGTTTAATAACATTTTCGTTATTTAGTTGCAATTCCACTGACTGTGCTTATTTAATATTTATGTAATCTTATTTATTTAGTTTTTTTTTTTTCATTTTTTTTTTTTTTTGTGCTCATTTCTTTACACGTGTTACGAGTTGGTACTCAATTTGTAACTAAGTAGTATTTATTGTTTCCTATTTATTTCCTTGGCACTAAGTGAATGGAAATTAAGCATAATTTTAAGTAAGGAACCATTCCTCTGAGCTAAAATTTCTTCAATGAAATTTTAAACTTGCAAATTTTAAACTCACTAAACTTTTTAATATTCTTGATTTTGAAGTACTTGAATGAGTTGTTATGTTTTTGAATTTTCAGATTAATTTCAAAATATTTCAAAAAAATGAACTTGTTGTTTTAACTTTTTAATTTTTGAATAATGGCGTTTTTGGAATTCTGGTTTTTTTTTTTTCAATTTAAAATTTTCTTTGTCTTCAATTATCCTTTTGAGCCTTTTTTTAAGCTTTGCTTTTTTAATATTTTGCACCAATTAATTTTAAATAATTTTCGCTCTTTATTCAAATTTTGATTTCGTTTTCATTTTTCATTTTCTGAATTATCCCGATCATTTTGTTATAGGAATATTGTATAATTTTTTTCATTTTTGAGCTTTTCATTCTGTTTTAAAAATTTTTTTAGAATTTTTCAATTTTTCTTTTTTTATCTTTTTTGCAGACAAATTTTCAATTTTCTGGATTTTTTGGTCGCACTGGTTTTGCATATTATCAATTGCATGTTTTTAAATTAAAATGTAACTTTGAGTACCTTCTTTCTTGCATTTCTGGATATTTAATTTCACTAACTGCATGCTTTTTGATAGATTCACCTATTTCTTTATAGCATTTTTGACTAATATAAGCTTATTTCATATCCGTATGAATTTCAGTATTTTTTAATTGCTACATGTTGTTCGCTAATTTTACTTACACTATTCTCAAATTATATTCGAAGTGCTTGCACTAGATAAATTCGGTTTCCTTTTTCTTTATTCTTTCTGCATTTTTGAGTTGCCTGTACTAAATGCATCTTGCAGTTTAGTATTTATACTTATTGCATGAATTTTAGGTGTTTCATGTCACTGCATGCCTTTGCTCGTTACTTATTGCTAATGCATAAATTTTATGTGATTTAACTAACTGCATGAATTTCATAGGGTTTGACTAACTGCAAGCAAATGTTTGTTACTTATTACTAATGCATAAATTTTATGTAATTTAACTTACTGCATGCTAATGTTTGTTACTTATTACTAATTTATAAATTTTATGTAATTTAACTAACTGCATGCTATTGTTTGTTACTTATTACTAATGTATAAATTTATGTGATTTAACTAACTGCATGAATTTTATACGGTTTGACTAACTGCATTTTATACGGTTTGACTTACTGCATGCTATTGTTTGTTACTTATTACTAATGCATAAATTTATGTAACTAACTGCATGAATTTTATACGGTTTGACTAACTGCATGCTAATGTTTGTTACTTATTACTAATTTATAAATTTTATGTAATTTAACTAACTGCATGCTATTGTTTGTTACTTATTACTAATGTATAAATTTTATGTAATTTAACTAACTGCATGAATTTTATACGGTTTGACTAACTGCATGCTAATGTTTGTTACTTATTACTAATGTATAAATTTTATGCAATTTAACTAACTGCATGAATTTTATACGGTTTGAAAAACTGCATGCTAATGTTTGTTACTTTTTACTAATGCATAAATTTTATGTAATTTAACTAACTGCATGCTATTGTTTGTTACTTATTACTAATGTATAAATTTTATGTAATTTAACTAACTGCATGAATTTTATACGGTTTGACTAACTGCATGAATTTTATACGGTTTGACTATCTGCATGCTATTGTTTGTTACTTATTACTAATGCCTAAATTTATGTAACTAACTGCATGTATTTTATACGGTTTGACTTACTGCATGCTATTGTTTGTTACTTATTACTAATGCCTAAATTTATGTAACTAACTGCATGTATTTTATACGGTTTGACTAACTGCATGAATTTTATACGGTTTGACTATCTGCATGCTATTGTTTGTTACTTATTACTAATGCATAAATTTATGTAACTAACTGCATGAATTTTATACGGTTTGACTAACTGCATTTTATACGGTTTGACTTACTGCATGCTATTGTTTGTTACTTATTACTAATGCATAAATTTATGTAACTAACTGCATGAATTTTATACGGTTTGACTAACTGCATGCTATTGTTTGTTACTTATTACTAATGCATAAATTTATGTAACTAACTGCATGAATTTTATACGGTTTGACTAACTGCATGCTATTGTTTGTTACTTATTACTAATGCATAAATTTTATGTAATTTAACTAACTGCATGCTATTGTTTGTTACTTATTACTAATGTATAAATTTTATGTAATTTAACTAACTGCATGAATTTTATACGGTTTGACTAACTGCATGCTAATGTTTGTTACTTATTACTAATGTATAAATTTTATGCAGTTTAACTAAATGCATGATTTTTTACGTTTTACTAACTGCATAAATTTGCTACTTATTACTAATGCATAAATTTATGTAACTGACTGCATGCTATTGTTTGTTACTTATTACTAATGCATAAAATTTATGCAATTTAACTAACTGCATAAATTTTATACGGTTTGACTAACTGCATTTTATACGGTTTGACTAACTGCATGCTATTGTTTGTTACTTATTACTAATGCATTAATTTTATGCAATTTAGCTAACTGCATAAATTTTATACGGTTTGACTAACTGCATTTTATACGGTTTGACTAACTAATTTATAAATTTTATGTAATTTAACTAACTGCATGCTATTGTTTGTTACTTATTACTAATGTATAAATTTTATGTAATTTAACTAACTGCATGAATTTTATACGGTTTGACTAACTGCATGCTATTGTTTGCACTTATTACTAATGTATAAATTTTATGTAATTTAACTAACTGCATGCTATTGTTTGTTACTTATTACTAATGCATAAATTTATGTAACTAACTGCATGAATTTTATACGGTTTGACTAACTGCATGAATTTTATACGGTTTGACTATCTGCATGCTATTGTTTGTTACTTATTACTAATGCCTAAATTTATGTAACTAACTGCATGTATTTTATACGGTTTGACTAACTGCATTTTATACGGTTTGACTATCTGCATGCTATTGTTTGTTACTTATTACTAATGCCTAAATTTATGTAACTAACTGCATGTATTTTATACGGTTTGACTAACTGCATTTTATACGGTTTGACTTACTGCATGCTATTGTTTGTTACTTATTACTAATGCATAAATTTATGTAATTAACTGCATGAATTTTATACGGTTTGACTAACTGCATGCTATTGTTTGCACTTATTACTAATGTATAAATTTTATGTAATTTCACTAACTGCATGCTATTGTTTGTTACTTATTACTAATGTATAAATTTTATGTAATTTAACTAACTGCATGCTAATGTTTGTTACTTATTACTAATGTATAAATTTTATGCAGTTTAACTAACTGCATGAATTTTATACGGTTTGACTAACTGCATGCTATTGTTTGTTACTTATTACTAATGCATATATTTTATGTAATTTAACTAACTGCATGCTATTGTTTGTTACTTATTACTAATGCATAAATTTATGTAACTGACTGCATGCTATTGTTTGTTACTTATTACTAATGCATAAATTTTATGCAATTTAACTAACTGCATGAATTTTATACGGTTTGACTAACTGCATGCTATTGTTTGTTAGTTATTACTAATGCATAAATTTTATGTAATTTAACTAACTGCATGCTAATGTTTGTTACTT